GAGCGTCGCGAAAAACTTATCTCGAAACTTATCCAAGAAGTTGCGAGGCGAGCGACGTTTTTCCGCCGTATAAAACCGCGAGACTTTATTCCCTTTATTCGCGGGCTTTACCGCGAATGTATTGCGCGCGTGTGTGTGCGTGTGTGTGTAAGTATGCGTATTATGTCCCGACTATATTTATTATACGGCTCTTTTCGTACAAAAGCGGAGCTGTATGCGGTCGCGGCTAATATTTCCGCTTAACGCTTCTCATCGTGTAAAGTGCGTTAAACTAATCGCGCGCTGCGCGTTATCATCGCTCTCGCCTCTCGCAAACGTGACGCTCATCAAGAAACTCGTTTACATCATTCACTCGCGCAGCATCGCTTCAAGTCTGAGGGGGTGGTGAAAAACGCAAACTTATATTTGGAACGTGCGCATCTTGTGTGCGGTATGCGTTACGCGATACCGAATATCGTAGGAGGTGGCCGAGAGATCAATGTCGAGAAATGATCGAGGTCACATTTATTTGACAAACGGCCACAATCTTCAATTTTGCGCGAAACGTTGCCAAGATTCTATCTAGATTACACATTTATGCGTCTCGAAATTTATAATGTGACATATTTTGGCCGTGTTTTCGAAATACGCCGCGCATTTATCCCTCATCGCGCTTTGCGGCGATATGCATCGGAAAATGTAAAACGCTTGCATGCGACAGCTAATTTAAACGTTAATGTCGTTTCATCGATGCATTTTCGATGCGTTTTATCGACGAAGGGTCGCAGGCGTGTTGGAAATTTATAGTAATAATTTCGAGAGCACGGCAGACATTGTGATCGCGGGTGGGGCGGGGTTAAAGATCTTATTAGAAAAGTTCATAAACTGATCAAGAGCTCTTTATAAAGTTCATTCCGAAAGCAGCATTCAACCGAAATGCTAAATTGTGGCATCGAGTTTATATAACGGCGTGCGAAATTTACGGAAGAAAGGCAAAGTAACGCGAGAGAGGAGAGAGGGAAGGGGGAAGGAGTTGAAGAGAAATGTTCCTCGGGGTGAGAAATGTATCTTCCGGATTTATATAAAATCCCGAGTTTCACGATACGTTTATATATTTAAGATCGCGATGTAACTTTAATCTCATCGCGTCGCGTTTTCCCCGGGCAAATTTTTTCGCGTAAACGCCACGTCGCGTTCATTCCCCGAGAGAGACGCGACATTTATTTTGTCGACGCAGAAATAAAAACGTCGCTCTCTCGTCAAAGAAATGGACGTCGCTGCGAATTATGATAGGGTGATGTTATCCGCTTACGACGATAGATACATTATCCGCGTTAACATTGAAAAGTTGCGACGTGAGTTTCTGATAAAATGGCGTGAAAATTAGCTCGAAGAAGGGGGTCGTATGTCGTGGTCCTTTGGCGATGTTACTTTGCGTAATTAATTTCCTTCCGCGTTGAAAAAGCAGG